GTGGCTTCCCTCCTCACAGCTTTTGGGACTTACTTCTTTTCGGTTTTTTTGTCCTCTGCAGGCTTCGACTTTCCAGCTGAGTAAAAGGAACATAAAACACCACTTCACTTTCCTTAGCATCTGCAACGAAAAGACGACTTCTTACTTCAGTTTGAAAAGTAATAATAAAAATAGTACCAGCGAGCTCGAACTTCGAACTTCGTCAGCGAACTCCATCGATGTGTTCACCATCCCGGCAATGTCTTCTTTAAACCCGTTATTTCTGACCAATAAAACTGCGTTTAGATAAAGCAATTGGAGTAATTGACCATGGTTGTTTCAAGGTTATAATTCGATCGTAAACCCATCAAAAACCTACCCAACCTTCTGTGTTGAATTTTTACTTTGCAAAAACGTTTTTATGTAAAACGGCACATGAATGGCGAGTTTGGGGTGAAGTTTCAAAAGCACACAGACGCAAGCGATGAAGTTGCGAGGGGATTCTTGCAGTGTGCTGGTCGCACTGTTAAGTATAATTTGAAAGATGTCTAGAACTTTTAGGCTAAACGTAACACCTAAGTTAATACAAATTATCAGATGACGAAAGAAGATATTCTCAAAAGAAATAATATAGGTTGATCCCCGCGCTCGTTTTTAGAATATTAAGTAAATCATCTTTGAATTTGTAATTGCTATACCCCGTGGGTTGTGACGGAACTCCGCATGTCACTTTATTTTAACGCTTGCGTAGTACATACCTTTGAAGAATGACCAAAAATAACTTTAACTGGCAAGCGCTCTCTCCTAGAGGAGATAAGAAAAGTATTAAGCAATAAATTAAATTAAAGGTTTAAATCCTTTTTTTTTTTCAGATAAACTAGCATTCAATTTGCTTTGGTCCTGTCAACATATTTTTCACTTACAGACAAATTACCTAGTAACAGGCATGAATGAATACGTAAATTAGATGTGTCTTAAATGAAACAGAAAGCAAACTGTAGATGTCACGATTATCGATTACCATAATATCAGTGAAGCGTGAGTTAAAGTCTCAAAAAGAATTTCGCCATCATTCTTGAATCCCTGACCTTTAGTAAAGCTTCTAAAGCCTTAAAGTTATTTTTCCACTCTCTGGGAGCGTAACTACGGACTACGAGTAGTCCCTCTTTCGCTTAGTTGGGCGAGCGAGACCGAAATTCGCGCGTTTCTCACCGCAAGGATTTCGCGCACCTTCGTGGGTCTTTGACTTTTTTCTTGTTTTGACTTTTACATGCATGGTACATCAAAAATTAACGCTGAAATTTCCGCCAAAAAGTAAGGAGTAATTTATCACCCATGATATTAGCAGCAAAATCACTGGACCGTTCATTTCAGAAGCTTGTAGATTTTGGTGTGTTGAAAGAACTCCGGCTCTAAAAGGGCGCAAACCATCTGCCTGCGCGGTTCGTCATTTACTTTTCTTGTCTCTGAAAATCGCAATGTAAACAAAAACGGAAATAGGAATCGACTGAGATATTGCGATAGAACCATCGTGATCGTCAGAAATTTCAGTACACGGCCTTCGATTTTGTCATAAGTGATTCAGTTTTATTCTCAACATTCTTTTCATGAAAAAATGGAATTTTTCCGGGACAGTCGGAAGCCATGGTTGCCACGAAAGCTAATTTCCTTGAAACAAGTTACGTATGTTGTTTAGATTTAATTCCAAAGTTGCACGCCTTTCATAGCTTAGCACTCTGTTTCACTGTAGAGAAAACAAATCTTCAGTGATGTGTGTCCGACAAAGACTTTTGTTTCCACAAACACAAAGCAACTGAACGCAAATCATCAAAATTACAGAAGTTCATTGAAGCACGATTTCATTGTCTACGAGGCCGAGAAACTTCTGTGACTCAACCCTGCCGATTAGCTCAGTTATAACTGAGACAAATGCATAGTTAGGCAGTCGGTTCATAGCATACTTTGCCACTTTATAGCTTGATGTCCTAATCGGCATGCCATTGGCGTCGTGATGAAGATAAATTTGCGATCATTCGGTTTTGCCGCTTGATTGCAACTGGAAAGCCCTGAGGCCTCGACTGCGTTGCTTATAATGTAAAACAGAGTGATTACTTCAGGAGGGTGATCGAGGGCCGATCATGTTTTGAAAAATCTCCAGTTGATAACATGAAGAAC